TATTTATTGGTGGGCTATAATCCGCTGAGATCGATTGCCAAGCTGCCTATAATACCCTCACAATCTAATCGTTGAATTTACATCTATTCACGGATTGAAAGTGAGTACTTTACCACATACATAGGAGATACATGTAGTCAGCGACAAAGATATGAATACCCTGACGTTTTAACGATTTTCTTTATCTATATTTTCTTACTTACATACATCAAATATTTACATTTTCCTTTGCACGGCTTTCTTATGAAACATGTCGATGAAAATGCCGTTATCGTGGTCGCTCACAAAGTGAAGAGATAATCCAACCTCGCGTTTGGGTATTGGTCTCCAGTTACCCCACGAGAGCGGGTCGCGTTTTCCCGCACCACATACTCTACCGTCCAGCTCTAATCCTCATAGGCATCAGGACTCACCATTTACTGCAAAGTCGCTAACTAACAAGAAGTGCCCAGGTTCGTATTACGGAGCACAAAGTGATTATGAGGCGGATACTTTTTGAATGTTATGCAAAAACTTAACTACTAATACTTCTGTTGTATTTAACTGTTGTTGTACTTGTTTCAAATTTTTAACACACAGTCGGCGACAAAAATCTACGCACAGAGAATTTTTCGCAATGAATGCAAAGTTTTTTATGCTAATTTTTTCGCTAATATTGTACAAATATATACTCATTTTAGAAAAAAAAATCCACAAATATTATACTTCTAAACTTTGTGCACTGAAGTGACAACGTTCTTGATTTTAGCTTTAAATGCAACTGAACTTTATTCATCACATATTTTTAAGTTAAGCTTAATTCTTTGAAGAAGGATCGAGACGCTTACGCTGCCGATTTAAAATATAAACGAAAAGCTTTGCGATCGTTCTCACGCTAGAATTGCTGAATGCGCAGAACGTGCAGTTTATCAAAATGTATTAAATAAATATACGCCCGATGGGCATGCTACTTTGTTGTTATTGTGTTGCAACTATATAAGCGTATAACACCTTCCCCGTTTGGAAGCGGGAGCACACTGCAGTTGTTTTATTTGACCAAGATTTAGCTATTTGCTTGTGATGGTCGAATAAAATATGCCTAATATATGAAATTATTCTAAATGATAAAGATTTCAAAATTTTAATATTACCTTTATTTTATTTATTTATTTACTTAATTTTTTTAATTTATTGTAATTATATCGTTTTGAAATCTCTATTTACATAAAATACATAGTTAAAATTCTGATTATATAATAAAAAATGTTTTAGAGAAAAGGACAAGTTGTGTTTTCAAAAAGTGATATTCATTCGTATGGTGAACAATTATGCGCTAAATAGTTTTAATCTGCTTTTATGTACTCTAAGGTTTTTCTTATGTTTGTCTTCTATTATTCCTATCGTCTATTTATATGTCACTGTATGGTCCTATAGATTTATTTTCTAACTTATGTCCTATTTCTTTTGTAATAATTACCTTATCTCCTATATTTATTTATAATCTATTTAATGCCTATCTACTAATTTCTTTGCTTTTTATTTTTGTTGCTGTAACAAAAGTCTAGCTCTTTCCCACGCTATCTGCAATCTAAATTTTAGTTCTTTCGCGTAGTTATCTATATTATATATCGGTTCTGTTTTATCAACAAAATTCATTTGTTCAGTAGTTGTGTGTTGCTGTTGGTGTGGTATTGTAGCAATATGTAAAACATCGCAACCATTCGTCCCAATCGTCTTTTTCCACTGAAATATAGGAGCGTAAATACTCATTTCAAGTACGGTGGCTACGCTCTACTGTACCTAGTGATTGATAGTGATAAGCGGTGGATGTAATTTTTTGTATTTTTAATAGCTCGCAAATTCCACTTAAAATTTCATTTCTGTATTCTGTGCCATTTCCGTTAAGAATGTCTTCATAGGGCCACATAAGATCAAGGAATCTACAATTGCTTTTGCTATTGTCTTTGCGTCCTTTTTCGGAACTGAAACTGTTATCAAGTATTTGGTTAATTCACAAATAATTGTAACAGCGTATTCGTTACCACTCTGCGATTAATTCAGAGGTCCAACCGTGTCAACAAACACTATTCCAAACGCAGCAGTTGGTGTTGGTGTTATTACTGCGGGTGGTTTGATGGGTCTTGTTATTTTGGCTTTTTGGCAATTCTCACATGACTTTATATATGTTTTAAAGTGTTAATTCTTGTATCGCCAATAGTAATAACGTTTTATTTTTGTAGTAGTTCTCGCAACGCCACTGTGGCCACCAGTGATTGGATTATCGTGGAACTTTTTTAAAATTTGAGTCACCATATCTCTATTTCGATTATTTATTGTTGTCACCTTGGGTAATAGCGCTATATTAATTTTCTTTAGATATTTGTTGCCCCTTTCTTTAAATTTACTAGTGAGTATGGTTTCGAATATTTCTTCTCTTGGTGACATATTTAAACTTATAAATTTCCATTTGCCGGCTGCTGTTTCCAGCCTTGAGAAAAATTTTCCTAAGTCAAATTTCTCATTAACAAATAAATCATTAGCCTTAAAGTGTACTAAAGTTTCTTTTCCGTTCTTTAATAAACACTCATTTAGAGAGAGCTTTAGTGTGACACACTTTTTGACGTTATTAAATTTTATTTCGTCATATACTTTGGGCTTATCCTTATTAATCAAATTTTCAGAGATATGTGAGTTTTTTATAGGATCTCGTTTTTTCGCTTTAGATCAAGTCATGACAAGAATTTTAGCAATTCATTCATTCATTCATTGAGCAATTTTAAATCTTGAATTGTTATTTCTTTACTTGTGATTGTGTCCTCACATTTTATTCTTGATAATGCATCAGCTATATGGTTTTATTTGCCCCAAAGGCATTCTATTGTAAAATCGTATTCTTCGAAGTCTAGCCTCATACGTGTTAATTTTGATTACGCATTTGTCATCGCAAACAAATATGATA